GATAGATGTACAGAGCTTCTCTGACGACGTCCTTGTACTTATCGACGGACATGTTGCTCTTATCGATTCTCAGTATTATGTCGATCATTTTCTTGATCATCTCGTCCGAATAGTTAATGCTGTTCGTGTTAAAACTTCCGAGTAACTGTTGGCGTCGTCTCAGGCGAGCGTATTCCCGAAGAATGAGCGTCATTTCGTCTCTGAACATCGATAGACATTCGACGTGTTTCTTGGGCATCTTCGTCGAAGCGTAGCCCAAGAAAATTTCGCTACCGCTCATTACCTGCCTCTCGTGTCTTAAGATTACATCGACCACCTCTTTGCGATTTGTTATGACTAACGGTTGTTTATTACAAGACGGCGGCGGCGGCGGCGGCGGCGGCGGCGGTGGCGGTTTTAACGCTACTGTTGTTTTTTGACCGTGTTTTGTTTTCTGTTTCTTCTTGTCTTCATGTCGATTGTTATTACTGTCGTAATAGTACCTTTTCAATGTATCTCTATTTTTTTTCTTCTTCTTCATCCTGTTCCTGTTATTAGTATTATTATTATTGTTGTTATTATTATTATTACAACAATTAGTATTATTAATAGTAGCAGTAGTATCATTTTTGTTAACATGTTGTTTTGATTCGTTGTATAATAGCAATACGGACGTATAGTCATCTAAGTCGATATCACTGGTATCAGTGCTACTCTTGTCGCTGTCGCCATTATCCGGCTCTTTTTTTCTCTCCTCCTCCTCCTCCTCCTCATCATCGTCGTCGTCGTCGTCATCGTCGATATAGTCATCTCTACCGTCATTTCTGTTGTTACTATCATCGACATTATCATTCGCAACAACACCATCGTCATCGCCCTTAATTCTAGGTGATGTATTTGTATGATTATCGTGTTCCATCTTTTGTACGTTTAGAACTACTCGTGTCGCTATACGAATTCGTGCATATATATATAGTGGGTATAATTAATCAACATCCCTCACCCGCCCAAAAATCACAAAATTGGTTTTCGCGATCTATTCTTTTATTATTCTCATCTACATTTTGGATGTCGCTGATCCTTTTTTTTTAATTTTCTTTTTACTGTTTTGGATTATTGTATATCGACGTCGACGTTCAGACCGAAGCGCTACGAACGGTTACGGGAGAATGCCGCACGCGATCTCCTGCCGACGTTCATATCTCCGATTCTGCAAGAACGCCAGACCTTGCATTGCTAGACTCTGTGGTTGTGACTGTCGTTGCACTAGCGGACTCTGTCGGAGCCTTAATGTCCGTCTTTAAATCCCGAGAGGGTTTTTTATCCTCGGATTCGGGTTCCTTGTTTTCCACATCTCGGGAAGCGTCTTCCGACTTCGACGTGTTATCGGGGTCCCGAGAGACATCCTCGTGTTCTTGAACCGGCGGAGGCTTGTTTTCCTTTTCGTCCTGATGCTGATCGTTCGTTCGGTCTGTCGATCTCTTGTCTTGGGAGAGTGCCTCGTTTTCTGTCGTTGCTGATGCGCTAGTACAATCGCTGTCGCTGTTCTTACACATATTGTTATTATTATTATTATTACAGTCCTCTTTAGACATCGTCGCTTCTATATCTTCCGGTATTGCCCTTTTCTTACAGCTGTGTTTCTTTACTGGCATCGTGCCGATGATATTGCCGAGGATTTTGTATTGTAGAAGAGTACGACTAGAACACGAACACGCGCAGGCGTATAAATACAATGTTTACATCCCCCCTCCCCGAGTGTGAGAATGTGTATCTATTCTTCTCCTTCCTCCCACCCCTTACACACGCGCACAAGTAATACTGTTATTTTAAATTTGTACAGATTACTATAGATATAATATAGATATTTATATATAATGTCGCGTGTTTTTTTCTACGTTACGTGTAGTATTCATTCGCTATGTCGATTATCATAACGCGCAACACCGACATGCCCATAAGCGATTCGGATGAAAATGACGACGACGAAGACGATGAAGACGATAACGGTATGCGTCGAAGAAGAAATCTTTATTTAACGAATAGTGACGACGACGTTGACGACGACGATGATTATAGCGATTTTTACGACGATAACGATTACAACGACGAAATCGACAACGGTGGTAATAGTAACGATAGTAGTATTACTAATGTATATAACGACGATGTTGTTGATGACGATGACGATAATAATAATAACGATGACGATGCGAACGATACTAGCGTAAACGACGAAGACGATGAATTCGACAACGACGATAATAATAGGAAATGCGATAACGACAATAGTGTCGTTAGAAATAAAAATCGCGACGATAGTGACGAAATGAGCAAAGAACGCACTAGCGATAAAAATACCGACGGCGTACTCGAACAGCCTAACGCGAAGAGCGTCACGGAGACAGACAGATCTCCGAGCAAGAATCGATTCACGGAAGATGGATTAGAAATAGCCAAATCTAGTAAGGGATATTATGACGCATACAGACTGTACAAGAATACTACGTCCAGAGCCGTGAGACGAAATAACGGGAACGTGACCACGAGTAAAACGAAGAAAGATGCGAGGCCTGGAAACGGTAATAATAATAATAATAATAATAATACAGAGAGCGATAACGACGTCGATAAAACAGCTGATGATACTACTACTACTACTACTTCTTCTACTACTACCACTACTACTGCTACTAACAGTAAAGATAATGACAATAATAATAACACGAACAAAGAACAAATAATTTATGATACCTTTCTACAAAAAATACAGGACGACTACGATATAAGATCTACCGAAGATATTAACGACGATAGATCGAATACTCTGCAGCAAAGTGACAGTACAAATAGTCTGCGGCAAAGTGAAACGGAACACGCCGAAAATATTGGTGACGATCCGACAGACTATAGACGCACACAGAGTGACGACTCTGATACAGGTGCTGTAGCCTCCCAGAATACGATCGATGATATTAACGACGACGATCACCAAAATAGTCTGTTTAAATATCTCGTGACAAAATATAGAACCGATAGCGACGGTGAGACCTCCACCGCCACCGCCACTGCCGTTTCTACGAATTTTACTAATACCGTCACTACTGCTACTGCTGTCGATAGTACCACTATCGACAATACTACCTCTCCTACTTCTTCTACGATTATTATTCCTCCGTCTCTTCCTCCTCCTCCTCCTGCTCTTCCTCCTCTTACTGTCAATAATATCGATATTGGTACCAACACTTATACAAATACTGACGATAATGAGGACGGTAATGACGACGATGACGATGTCGATGAATGCGATCATGATGACGACGATAACATTGACGAAGAAAACGAAGAGAACAGAAACGAAAAAGAGAGAAATGTGGAACATGTAGAACAAAGAGAAATCGAAAAGGTAGAAGTAGAAAAAGAAGAAAGAAAAGACGAAGAAGAACAAGAAAGAGATGATGATGATGACGATGATGGTAACGGAGATGGAGAGGAAGGGTCCGAGAGTCATTTAACACTCTCGAACATACGATTTAATATTTTACGCGAGAATAATACGCCGAGCGCATCGCACGAAGACCGGGAACACGAATCGCGTCGGCGACTAAAAGAACAGTCGCTCCATCAGCTAATGGATAACATAAACGACAACCTCAGGCCGAATATAAAGAAAGGGTTACAAGAGACTAAACTGGCCATAGAAGACGTTAACATGAAGCTCTTGGAAGAACACACGCAGCATCTCAAGTGCAATGCCGTCGTCACGGCTCTATTTAAGAAAAGACGAGAAGCCATCGAAGCGGGCGTAGTCGTAGACGACTTACCCCCTCTACCTTCGGCCGATCAGATAGAGCGGTTACGAAAGACGATAACCGTAGAACTCATGATCAGGAAGTTGGAAGAGTGCAAGAAAGTAAACTGTATTTCAAAGGCCGACGCGCACGAAGTCAACATTACTCTCCTAACGACCATGCAAGAGAATCAGTTGCTGTGCAATCCCATATTCGACGAATATGCCAGAATCTACCACCACGGCGAGGACGACGGCGTTACCTTCCGAGACGGGTACGATGCCGACGCTCGTTCTCTGAGACTCGAAGCCAGCGCGTTAGACGACAGAAGATTTGACGACGAATACGAGAAGCTGGAGTACTATACGAATCTCTTGAACAGACTGCTGAAACTCAAGACGGAAAGTCTACACCAGTGGCTGTTCACCGCGCGGTTCTTGAGACGGGTGATGAGAGGAGTCGTCAGGTCGATTACCAGCGAGAACGACGGCAAAAAGACCGCCTCCCATCGGTACGATAGCGACGAGTCTTACGACATGGGTTCGTATGACAATAACAACGTTTGCGATAATAATAATGATGATAACAATACGATTCCGACAAGAGAGAGTGATACGCGCGCTAGTGAATTCTTTTGGTATTCGGGCGTGGAGTTGTTTTTTTCGTTCGTCAACGAGAGGATCCAAAGTTACATCACGGGCGTATCGAAGGACGTCGCAGAACTGGCCATTCGGATTGGAATCCCACTGATAATGATCCAGTGGACAGGTTCCTTCAAAACCTCCAAAGCGTACAAGTCTCTACTGAAGAGAAGTATCAACAACATAGCGAGCATAATCATCGAACCGTCTCTGTTCATCTTGGGAAATATGCTAAAAGAAAATCGAAACGACGACGCTGAAAAATGGACGACGAGTAAAACGAAACGCGCCATCGGAGACTTGGCCGATCGTCACGGTCGCAACGTCTTCACGGTGCCCAAGAACGTATTCCTTCACAATTACGAGACGGTAGATCCCGACGCTCTAACGCTAACCGCGATTCTCGAAAAAGACATTTCTGTAGGTCGCGATATAAGAAAACACGTCGTGTCGTATCTTTATAAGAATCGTAAAACTTTCTCGATGTTGTTAGTCAGAGGCGTGTTAGAAATCAAGAAATCCGTCTCGTCGTTAGTTGCTCGATACGTGATCCATCCACCTTCATCGCTATCGTCGTCGTCGTCGTCGGTTCTTCCTTCTCGTACTCTATTTTCTTCTACCGAGTCCGATCTAGACATTATCGCTAACCGCAAAAGATCGTCGAGTAATGTGCGAAAACGTAAGAAAAGAAAAAAAGTCGCGATGCGATAGGCGTACACGCATACGCGTTAATGCAGTCAGATGCGATACGGGTAGGACGATAGAGATAATAATCGTCGAACACGCGTGGGACCAAAAAAAATACGGGAGTAGTATGAAATTTAGTTCGGGACTTTCTCGATGCTGTTACTCGAACGCGTTTGTTATTTTACGACCGAGAAAAATCGCATCGGTAACCGATGTACCGACTTGAATTCTAGTCGTGAAGGTAAGAGTCGAATACGGGGTAACGGATGGAATCGTACGCAAACCCGACGATGTCGCGCCATGTTATTGGAAGGTCCGCGATTACTGCGGCGGCAAACTCTGTATACGGGATAATAAAAGAGATCTTCTTTTCGAACGTTTATTCTTTCTAACTATCCTCTAGACATAATCAAAACTCGTAGCAGAACGTAAAGCGGTGTTCGTGTTCGTTCATATCGGCATGCGCGTAAATCGATCTGTCTTTTCGGCAGAGTGGTCTGTCTTTGACCCATTTCGTCGTCTGACGCAAATGTCTATCGAGGTACTGTACGTCCGACGTATCCTCTCGTCGCACACCTTCATGCGGCGCAGAAACTTGAGCGCGGGCACGCTGTTCCACCGCCTCGTCGGCAGGAGGTCGAAGGACGACGGCTCCTCCACATTCGGGCCGTCGGCGACCATCGATCTTCAGATACCGTGGACGAAACCTGTAACATCGCTAGCCTTTGTCGACAATAGCTATACTCGTTCTGTTTTCGTCTCGAGCTGCATTCGTCTCGGTGCCGCGTGCTATGAACTCGCGGACATCCGCCCAGTAACCGTCGCTATGAGAGCGCGCGGAAGGCAGGCAGCCACCACTCGCAGTATACGCCACTCTCGGAGAAATTAGGAGCTCTGCTTTCATTATAGCAGCAAGTTAATCTATATCGGCATACGCGTAAATCGATTTGTCCTTTCAGCAGAGTAGTCTGTCTTTGACCTATTTCGTCGTCTGACACCAATGCTTATCGAGGTGCTACATATCTGACGTTTCCATTCGACCGTAATGCACGCGGACGAAACCTGTAACATCGCTAGCCTTTGTCGACAATAGCTATGCTCGTTCTGTTTTCGTCTCGAGCTGCATTCGTCTCGGTGCCGCGTGCTATGAACTCGCGGACATCCGCCCGGTAACCGTCGCTATGAGAGCGCGCGGAAGGCCCGCCCAGTATAAGAGCGCGCGGAAGGCCCGCCCAGTAGCCGTCGCTATAAGAGCGCGCGGAAGGCAGGCGGCCACCACTCGCAGTATACGCCACTCTCGAAGAAATCAGGAGCTCCGCTTTCATCATACGCTGTGCGCTCAGGCCGTCGAATAGATCGCCTCGCGACGAAAAGACGCGATGAACGGCGACGACTTCATAAGCCTGGATGCCTCGGTCGCGGATCAGAGTGACATCGTCGAGTTGGTGGGGGAGGCTCTGCAAGCTCAGTCTCTCTTCGAGAAGCGAACGTCGCCGTGGGAGAGAGCCTCTTGGGACGACCAAGACCTCGAGAACTTCAAAATACAGGCCGACGCGATACGACGCCTCTATTACATCGACCACTACGACGACGGGATCTCGGTCAGGGAATTCGAGCTGGCGGTGAAGACGGTACACGGGGGGAAGGTCGTCTACGCCAGCATGACGGCCGGTTGCGACTTCACGGGCTTCTATTGCCAGGGAGACGGGGAGATCTACGTCACCCGCGATGCGCAGATCTTCCTCAAGTCGATTCTGAGGACGGACATCGACCTCCACGGTATCTGGAAATCGATGGTCGCCGACGGCCTGAATGTGGAGGAGCCGTCGTCCTTCGACCTCCTGCCGACGAGGCGGTGGAACAGCGTGCCCGCGCTCAAGTTTCTGTGCCACATGAAGGTGTACGACGAGAGGGACAGGCTGCGGGAACTGGCGACTCTGGTTCTGCCGAAGATGCTCGCCCAGAGCGTGGAGGAGTTCGTGAAGACGAGGGAGACGAAGGACCACCACGACGAATGGCGATGACGAAGCCCCGTGGAGCGACCTGGACCTATCGCCGTGAGAGTCGCCGCGTCGTCGTCGTCGCGAAGCGATTCGCGGATGCGACCGCGTCTCTGTGGGCTGAAACCCCAACGACACCACTACGGCATCTCTTAAATATACAATACGATTAATCTGTCTGTTTCTGTATCTACTCGTTCGATACCCTCGTACGATAAAGGTTCTGCATCTACCCATTCGACACCCTTGTGCGATAGAAGGAAAAAATCCCATGTGAAATAAAATAAAAATAAAAATACCAGTACACGCACGTACAATCACACACGCACAAAATAAAAGCTACGCCCGAAAAAAAACGATGGACAAGATGATCATCACAGAAAAAAAATGATGTACAAGATGATCATCACAAAATAAAACTCACGACGATCCCATGAGAGAAAGACGCCGAACATTTGCCGTAACGATAAATACTTGTGGTATCGTGTATAATTGTGATATCGTGTTGATATCTGTGGAGAATCGGATTCGCGGTCAATGCTCATCGTCTAGAAGTAAAATTTGCCAATTCGAGTTTCTTAGTATACGCGGATTACGAGTAGCTTGACCAGAGTGTCGCGGAATATCGTTTTCTCGTGTCGCATTGCTGACACTACTTACGGGGAACGAAATTCTATATTTTGGATTTGGATTCAGAGTGCGCGTGTGCGAGTTGACGTTTCCACGATCCGGAAGCTCGGAACGTCCCAATAACGATGTGGGGGTGGCATTACGCGCGTTCTCGGTCTGTGATGCGTTTTGTGTTTCTCTGGAATCGCGATACCGTAGATACAAATTTGTTTGATCGCGTATGCGCATTAGAAGTTTGTTCTCTTTCTTTCGTTAGTTCCTAGGCGCGCGATTTCTATAATTCTTCGACGGTAAGGGTTTTACGACAGTAGTTTCTTTTTGTATCCGAACCACAAGTCAAAAGGGAATACACCCGGTACAAAGTAGAATTTTCATTGGCACGAGGGAGAAAGAGATAGCATAAAAAAAGTTGCTGTATTATACGACCTATACGATATGACCTAAAAAATACATAGGATGTTTCGATGCGACGAGAGAGAGAACTTGCTGCTCCTTTTTTATGTCGATCGTACCGAAATCGACTCACGTCATCAAAATATCTTTCTTTTTCATCTGTGTTTACATATCGGCGTATCGTCGTCAGAGTATCTTCTCCCGCAATATCAATACGAAATGTCTCCATTCGGTCCTCCGATATCGTTTATTTCTGTTAGTCGTTTATTTCTGTTAGTCGTTTATTCGTAGCTCTTAACTCTGTCTTCTTCGGCTAAGTGTAGTTATTTAGTCTCGCATCACCGAAACGTCTATCCGAATATTGTGCTGCTCGTATAATCGACGATATTTTTTTTAGTGGCTGCTAGATCGATGTCGTCTACCGTGTGTCTTCTTGCGTGCCGTGAAAATACGTCTGTGTCCGTATGCCAAAATACGTATTCGTCGGATGGTCGACCGACACGATAGTCGGACTTCGTTCTGTCTGCAGCACAAATGTACGTCCCGTATCTGTGCCGGTCACTCACTTGTAAATCGACTTTATTCCAAGTGACAAATTTTCTTCTCTCGTATCGTCGAAACGGTGTTACCGTGGGTTCAGGTCAGGCAAAAATAACACGGAACTCTCCACGTTCCTCCGCCCCACACGCCGGGCTCCGTCTCTCTGTGTACCGCCAGACGCGTGACTACGGAGACAGAATAAAATGTCATACATCAAAACTGGTATTTAGTATTCCCTCTTGACCCTTGAAGATTTTCTCTATACTCTTTACTATATCGTACCCCCAATTCGATTTAGCTTTCGTGACAGCATCGTACCGCTTCTCCCACGGCTCGTTGTTCGTCTTCTCCGCTGTGTCAATCTCGACGTCGAAACCGAATAGACGGCGATGTCTCTGATGCGACCCTTTCTTTACACTGGGATCGTTATCGGATAACGCGTACTCTTCTGCGTGTCTATCGTGTGCTTTTTCATCCCGCACGGTAACGAACCGACAGCGAGCATCGGAGACGAACCCGCACGCGTCGTCGCCGCCCGTGTCGTCCTCGCCTTCCGGCGGGCGTCACTCGCGCGCGCGGTGGCGGTGCCGGTGCGGCTGGCGTCGCGGCGGGCAGGCGAGCCGCGAGCGCGAGAGAGTCGGTCGCTCACGAAGCGTGTAGTAGGGAGCGCAGGGTGCGAAAAGAGACAGAGTCCCTTCGAGGCGTGTGAAAATTCGACTGAGTCGATTACAGAGAAAAAGAGGGTTAAATCGAATTAATTGTTTTTGCCGAAAAAAAACAGAGTCCCTCCGAGGCGTGTGAAAATTCGACTGAGTCGATTACAGAGAGAAAGAGGGTTAAATCGAATTAATTGTTTTTGCCGAAAAAAAAACAGAGTCCCTCCGAGGCGTGTGAAAATTCGACTGAGTCGATTACAGAGAGAAAGAGGCTTAAATCGAATTAAATGTTTTTGCCGAAAAAAAAACAGAGTCCCTCCGAGGCGCGTGAAAATTCGACCAAGTCGATCGCACGGAGAGAAAGAGGGTTGGGGATCCGAGGCCGAGGCGGCGAGGGTCGGGGAGGTCCGCACGGTAACGAACCGACGGCGAGCATCGGAGACGGACCCGCACGCGTCGTCGCCGCCCGTGTCGTCCGGCGGGCGTCACTCGCGCGCGCGGTGGCGGTGGCGGTGCCGGTGCGGCCGACGTCGCGGCGGGCAGGCGGGCAGGCGAGCCGCGAGCGCGAGAGGGTGAGTCGCTCGCTCGCTCGCGAAGCGCGCGGTGGGGAGCGCGGGGCGCGAAGAGAGACAGAGTCCCTCCGAGGCCTGAAATTTCGACTGAGTCGATTACAGAGAAAAAGAGGCTTAAATCGAATTAATTGTCTTTGCCGAAAAAAAGACAGAGTCCCTCCGAGGCGTGAAATTTCGACTGAGTCGATTACAGAGAGAAAAAGAGGCTTAAATCGAATTAATTGTTTTTACCGAAAAAAAAACAGAGTCCCTCCGAGGTGCGTGAAAATTCGACTGAGTCGATTACAGAGAAAAAGAGGGTTAAATCGAATTAAATATTTTTGCCGAAAAAAAAACAGAGTCCCTCCGAGGCGTGAAATTTCGACTGAGTCGATTACAGAGAGAAAGAGGCTTAAATCGAATTAAATGGGAGGTCGGCAGAATTGACGACGGCGAGCATCGGAGACGGACCCGCACGCGTCGTCGCCACCCGTGTCGTCCTCGCCTTCCGGCGGGCGTCACTCGCGCGCGCGGTGGCGGTGCCGGTGCGGCCGACGTCGCGGCGGGCAGGCGAGCCGCGAGCGCGAGAGGGCGAGTCGGTCGCTCGCTCGCTCGCTCGCGAAGCGCGCGGTGGGGAGCGCGGGGCGCGAAGAGAGACAGAGTCCCTCCGAGGCGTGAAAATTCGACTGAGTCGATCGCACAGAGAAAAAGGGGGTTAAATCGAATTAATTGTTTTTGCCGAAAAAAAACAGAGTCCCTCCGAGGTGTGTGAAAATTCGACTGAGTCGATTACAGAGAAAAAGAGGCTTAAATCGAATTAAATGTTTTTGTTGAAAAAAAAACAGAGTCCCTCCGAGGAGTGAAAATTTGACTAAGTCGATTACAGAGAGAAAAAGGGTTAAATCGAATTAATTGTTTTTGCCGAAAAAAAACAGAGTCCCTCCGAGGCGTGAGCCTGGGCCGCCGGGCCGCGCTGCCTCGTGACGGGGATCCGAGGCCGAGGCGGCGAGGGTCGGGGAGGTCCGCACGGTAACGAACCGACGGCGAGCATCGGAGACGGACCCGCACGCGTCGTCGCCGCCCGTGTCGTCCTCGCCTTCCGGCGGGCGTCACTCGCGC